CTGTGAGTGCCTCGTGATTCTGGTGCCAAGCCGAGACATTGGCCTTTGGCAAATACCATGGGAGAAAACATATGCTCAGGTCTTCTGGGGAACAGTATTTTCCAGCTTAAATTAATAGACTGCAACCTCATGTCCTAGTGGTTAAGCATGTATGCATCAGAGGTCAACAGCTTGAAGAACCTTTCTAAATTCTGGACTTCAATATCCTTATTTCCCCTAAATATTCAGCACAAACTGAGAAAAAGTTATGATTCCTCTGGCTTATATAAGAATAAAGACTTCTTTTTTCTTTTGGCAGTACGGGGTATTAAACCCAGAGACTAATGCATGCCAGGCAGTACTCTATAGCTAAGCTACATCCCCAGATCTCTGAGACAGAGCCTCACTTAAATTGCCTACATTGGCCTCGAACTTTCTATCTTCCTGCCTCAACTTCTCAAGTAGTTGGGATTACAGCTTGGTGAATAAAGATTCACCAAGTCTTTAAAAATGAAGACTAGAGAAAATAGAAGAGGAAAAATAGGAAGTATAAGAGTCTGATAAGATTTAAGAGGTAAAAATCAGATTAAAAGAGAGAAGAGGACTGGGGGTGTAGGCAAGTGATAGAATACCTGCCTACTTAACACATGAGGCCCTGGGTTCAATCCTTAGCACAGGAAGAAAAAAAGGGCATAAATGGCAAATAATCTTGTTAATTCAGCTGGGTATAGTGATTCATGCAGTTTAGGAGGCTGAGTCAGGAGGATCACAAATTCAAAGCCAGCCTCAGCAACTTAGCAAGGCTCTAAGCAACTTAATGAGACCCCATCTCAAAATAAATAATAAAAAAGGGATAGGGATGTTGCTCAGTGGATAAGTGCTCCTGGGTTCAACCCCCCCCCATCCCACCCCAAACAAAACAAAATCTTGTGAATTTGGTTCTTAGCAATTTAGTGACACCCTGTCTCAAGAAATAAAAAGGTCTGGGTTGGGGATGTGGCTAAAGCGGTAACAGGCTCGCCTGGCATGCGTGAGGCGCTGGGTTCGATCCTCAGCACCACATACAAATAAAATAAAGATGTTATGTCCACCGAAAACTAAAAAATAAATATTAAAAAAATTCTCTCTTAAAAAAAAATAAATAAAAAGGTCTGGGGATATTGCTTAGTGGTAGAGTGCTTCTAGCATGTGAGTCTCTAGCTTCAATATCCAGTGCCCAGGAAATAAACAAACATCCCAGTCCTTTTTTATTTTTTAATCTGAGATAGGGTCTGAGTTGCTGAGGTTGGTCTTGAACTTGTGACCCTCTTATCTCTCAGCTTCTTGAGTTTCTGGGATTATAGGTCTGTACCACTGCATCTGGCTATCTGACAGATTTTTGTATTAAAAAAACCCGAGGGACTTAATTCTGCTAGCTAGAATATTTTGCAAATCCTTGACTTTCTGATTCAACTGTTTCACATGAGGGTACATGACTAAAGTAATGACTATATTGACCTAAATGAGTGTGAAAGGAAATAATTAGTTGGTGAAGTTACACTAATAGAACATCAATGGAAAGCAGTCCAGTTATTCAGAAAAGACTGAGCATGAGTGATTACTCTAGGTGAGCAATAAATGTTAAACTGATGTTTATGATGTGGTACACCAAAGAGTATATGATTCTGAGAATGAAATAGTAACTGAACCTGATAAGGTAAAGGAAAGTACCTAAGAAACCGGTATTGTTTCACAGGGAGGTACGAGATAATTAGGATAATTAAAAACTGGCAGTAGCCAGACTCAAAGGAAGAGATTAATACAACTGTTGTGAGGCTGTATCCCAGATGCCCACTTGAGCCAATGATTTGGATAAAGATCAAAACTGCAAATAATAAAAAGTTGTGAGATTCAATTGGTCTGTTACAAAGCAAAATAATTAAGACAAAATCAAAGAATTTAATTAAAACAAAATGAAAGTTACCCATAAGATGCTGCAATTGGATTAAAAAGAGGCCTAAGGGGCTGGGGTTGTAGCTCAGTGGTACAGTGCTCGCCTGGCACGTGCGAGGCACTGGATTGTCAGCACCACATTAAAATAAAGATATTGTGGGCTAGGGATGTGGCTCAAGCGGTAGAGCGCTTGCCTGGCATGCGTGCGGCCCAGGTTCCATCCTCAGCACCACATACAAACAAAGATGTTGTGTCCGCAGAAAACTGAAAAATAAATATTAAAAAAAAAAAAAAAAACCTCTCTCTTAAAAATAAATAAATAAATAAAGGGCCAGAGGCACTTAAAAATAATAAAGATATTGTGTCCACTTACAACTAAAAAATAAATATTAAAAAAAAAGAGGCCTAAAGGCAAGACAGGTTCACTTAATTCTATTCTAAATTATGCTCATCTAATAAAAACAAAAAAAGTGGAAAAAATTAAACTATGCTCATTTGACAGGACTTACAATTTAACATATTTCAAGGGAAATAAGTTTATGTTGATTCCATACAGTTTTGAGGAAAAATGAGTACAAGTTATAGGGAAACTGTTGAGTGCAACACAAACATTGGGTCAAAGACCAAATGGGTTACTGTAGGAGGTTAGGTGACACTGCTTCACCTAATAGTGAATCACTCCCTATTTTAGTTCAAATTGGATAACCTTGTGATGGATATGTTACATAGGGAATTCAAACATGGAATAGGGAGCTGGACTGCAGTGATATTTATGATTTCTTCCAACCTCAAAATCTAGGATCCTGTAAACATCTAATTAAGCTAACTACAATCATAAATATAATCAAGTAGATTGTCTTCAGACAATTTTTTGTCTACCAAAAAAGTAGAGATTTGATGACATATAGCTTTCTACCAATTAAGACAGTACTTCTGCAATTGAAAGTAAATGTTTCTAAAACAAACCAAAAACGTACGCAATTTTCTTTTGTAATTCCAGGGGTGTCATAAAACCAGTGGGCATCTTTCACATCTTGAGGAGTCAATTCTATCCGTTTGGTGGATTTCTCCACAACCATGACAGGTTCATTTCCCATGTCAAAGGCAAGTGAATCAACATCAAACTCAAAAGTATCTTCTTTCTTTTGTTCTTTTGAATATAAGAATGTTCTTCCAACTCTTCCTAAAATGAATGATATTGAGGTTATCAGTTGCTCCTTTAATGCTTTTGATTTCCAGACAATTTTTATGTTTTTCTCAAACAAGTCACTCAGACTAACTACAGGGTATGGAAGTAAGACTGCAACAATACTTGTGTGGAACTCCTCACAAAGGTAATGAGAGTCAGACTTTTAAAATGATAAAAGTGCAAAGCTAGCTGTGCACACTCAGGCAGATGGCACTGGAATTCAGTTTTCACTAAAGCCAGGCTGAAAAAGTTACCAAGGAGAGAAGGGTAACCTAATGTAAAGCTGCTGCACAGAATCAATGAGCATTACCACTTGTATTGGTGTGGGTTTCAAAATAGCAAAGCCCTTGCCTCTAAAGGGTCTGTTTCAGAAGAAGGAAGTAAGTCTCTACCCACAGAAACTGGCTAGCTTAAGACAGCTGTATTATAGGTCTCAACAAAGAATTTTAACAGAGAATCAACAAGTGTTTTCCCAAATAGGGCACTTACCAACTACATAACCATGCTTTTTAAAGCGATTCAGTTGATTTTGTTCTTGTTCACTAAGATCTTCTTCAGCTTTATTTGCATCACTTTTAAGTCTTTTTTGTCTTTCAAACATTCTATAAGGAGTTGGGTTGCAAATAGGAAACTTCAGAAGGTTTAATGTGGTACCTGAAATACCAAAGAATAGTGTTTTCAGAAAAGGGATCAAGGGGAGGAAAATGAACATTTCTTAGGATCTACATTATGTTGGCTGTGATTCATCTCCCTCAACCTCCATGACAATCCTCTATAAAATTATTGTCACTTTAAATGAGGAAATCATCTTAAAGATGGGCTCAGAGGCTAATCAAGATTTGAATCCAAAATCTGGAACCTGATTATTCCCATTTCCACACGGCTATCCAGTACAAAAACAATTCTGTGTATAAGTCAGATGAGATTTGGTACATTCAAAATGACATGGCTGTAGAGAGTTCTGAGTATATTTCAACTGAAAGTGCAAGATAGAGAACAGTGGGCCAGGAAAGGCATGGTGGCACATGCTTGTAATCACAACCTTCCGAAAGGCCAAGGCAGAAGGAAATTTCCTTCTTCTGGAAAAGAGACCCTTTAGAGACAAGGACTCTGCTACTTGCTAAAGCCAGCCTTAGCAACTTAGTGAGACCCAGTTTCAAAATAAAAAATAAAGGGCCAGGGATGTGGTTCATTGGTAAAACACCTTGGGTTCAATCTCTGGTATCAAAACAAAAAAGCAAAAAACGAAAACACAAAACAAAACAAAAAAAGCTCTAACCAAATGCAGTTAAACCCTGGTTTCAAGGGAACAAATGGGGAAGTTAGTTTTGTGAACTTAAATAATGAAGAGGGTCATAAAAGAAATCAGTTTTCCATCACAGAAGTTTCTTAAAGTCACAAAACAAAGCCAAACACCATATTGCATTAACGAATTATTCAGATGTTATGTATGTATGGTGTCAAGAATAAATTCAGGATGTGAACAGTAACACTGAGGGGTGGAGAGCGGTAAAAAAAAAAAAAAAAAAAAAGGAAGCACAATTTTCAAGAAAAACATTCAAAGAAAATAAACTGGAAGGGAAATCTCCAAGACAGTGGGAACTTTGCTTTGTTTGTTCCCTGGTGTGTTTTCTGTTTGAAAACAACATATACTTAATTTCGACGCAGTAAGGTGATACAGAAGAGGGGTGTAACAAAGTATGAGAGGATTTTTAAATGGAAGCCTCCATGCAGTCTAACTTGATCGTTTAAGCAAAGAAACAGTAGGTGCCTGTGCCACGACCAGATGTCCAATTTCTCAGCATGCGAGCCTCCTAAGCCTCACCTGGCCAAGGGGAGATGGTGGCCCTGTCGATGGCCTCGGTGCCCTTTGCGGTGCAGTAATCAGACTCCAGGAGTGTGTTAAAAAGAGTGGACTTGCCAGAGTTGGTGGCGCCCACCAGGTAGACATCGCCACGGTAACGCCAGGAGCGCTGAAGTGCGGAGATCAATTCTTCAATTCCATAGCCAGTCTTGGCGCTGATCAGCCTTACGTCCCTGACCACCGTGCGCGACCAGGCCGACGGATTCGAATTCTCCTTCGCATCCCCTGGCTTGTCCTCGCTGGATTGCTGTGGTCCTCGGTGGCCAGGGGCCGGCAGGAGTCCGGCACGGATGCAGTCGTCCCACAGCCTGTTTCGGAGTCGCTGCCGGTAGCCGGGAGAATCCTGAGGGAGCAGGTCCACTTTGTTCCCCAGCACGATTAGCTGCTTGGCACCCACCAGCTTGGGCAAGTCGGACAGCAGGGCGTCGGGCAAGTCCAGCAGGTCTACCATGTACAACACCAGGGCTGGCCCAGGCCGCCGTAGCGCGGCGCTCACCAGTTCCAAGTACTGTTCGCGACTCACCTGCACGCGCAGGGCGCGCCGGTGGTGCACCAGCAGCCAGCAGCGCTGGCACACGAGCCGCACAGGTCCGCCGTCCGCCTGGGCCACGCTGGAGAACTTCTCGCTGGGGAGGTAGCCGGGCATGCCGGGGTCCTGGCAGTGCAGCTCTGCCCCGCAGCCCGTGCAGTTCATGCCGCTAGGAGGCACCGTCGGGTCCGGGAGTTCTACGATCGGGCGCGGGCGGCGTCCGGCCCGTACCTTCTGCTGGAGTCGTTCCTCCTTCCGCTGATCCTGTTGTCGTTCTTTCTCCTGCTGCAGCTGCAGCACCTTACGCAACTGCTCCTCCGGACTCGGTGCCCGCGGGGGCTTCGGGACGTATTCCGGGAACACAAAATGCTCCTCCGTGTCAGTGGTTTCTTTGTAGTTCCCAGTGGCCGAGGGGCCACGAGGAAGCCCACGTCCCAGGAGGGATGGGTATTGGAAGAAGGCAGCTGCGCATCTCCTCTCCAGGATCGGATCCCGGAGGCCATGGCGCGTTACGGCGGGCGACAATCCCTGCAGGAAGCGCCACAGCAGCCTATGCGCCAGGCTTCTGGGCAGCATGGGGAAGGGCGCCACCAAGAGCGGGGCGGAGCCACGAGCGCAGGCGTGTCCCAGCGTTCCAGACCCGCGCGAAACCCGAGACCCAAGCCCGGGGGTACTTGGGAATTGTCCACCACGCTTAAAACCCCGTGAGTTCTCGCGATGAAACTCTGAGGCCTTAGAGCCCACTTAAAGTGGACAAGGTACCGTCAAGCACGACGTGCCACAAGTCGTCCTTAATAAATCAAATTTTGTCTTTAGAAGTGCAGAAAATTGGCATAGAATGCTGCGGACTCACGTCCACAACCAAAACCTTTCATTAATACTCTGTTTTTCGGGTGTCATTGTTTGCGCAACTACAGCGAAAAACAAAACAGACCGAAAGCTTTGACCGGCAGCAACCAACTCTTGGCCTAAACGAGCGATCCTCTTACTTAACACAATTTGCGCGCCAGCAACTCTCCCCGGCTAAACTTTACCCTACTGTCCGCGCAGGCGCAAATCTTACGTTGGCGTTTGCGGGCGGCCTTTGCTGCGGCACGCAGAGCATTCTGGGAATTCCGGAGACGGAAATTACTTCGCTTCTCGCTGAGGGTACTGGTGGCGGTTGTGCGCCTATCTTTGATTTCTCGAGTTAGGAGCTCCAAAGCCTTCTGCCAATATGTATGACGCAGACGAGGGTAGGTGAACACTCAAAACACATTTCGCGGCGACATTTAAGAAGGGAAACGGGGGTTACTGGGTGGAGGGAGTTTTGAGGCTCTCTCCCTCGTCCGCCTCAGGCAGCCCCTTGTCGTGTTCCCCACGCACCCCAGGCCCGGAACCAAGCTGGGCTTGCGGGAGGCGCAGGGTCAGGGAACGTCTGTTCATGTTTCCAGTCGGGTTCGTTCTGGTTCTCTCCACCGTCTCCTTCTGTCCAGTCTGATATCACCTTTCATATTTGAACTTGAAGGAGCTCCCCTCTGCCTTTCAGTTTTCCTAAAGGTCGCAGTCGATTTATTGAATACCTGGATTTTTGAGCACCAGTCTTATGCCTCACGTTGTATTAGGCTCTGGAAATACAGCGGGGACAAAGGATTTTGGAGGGGGAGTGTTGGTCTTTCCTTCCTGTCTATTAGTCTTTAAGTAAATTGCTTTCCTTCTTGTCTATTAGTCTTTAAGTAAATTGCTTTAAAAGATGGCCTTTAAATCTCCCACAGGATAACATAGTTCTCAGGTTATATGTATTCCGCTGAACAGGGCCAATTTATCTTTTTACTTTTCACATATGTTATTCTTAGTCATGCCTAACGTATTTTTTTTCTTCCTTTTGGTACCTGGGATGGTGTTCATGGTTTAGTCATTGAGCCAAGTCCCCAGCCGTTTTTTATTTTGAGGCAGGGTCTCATAAAGTTGTCTGGGGCCTCACTAACTTGCTGAGGCTGGCTTTGAGATCTTCCTGCCTCAGCCTCGTGTCACTGGGCTTCGTGGAGTGCACCACCACACCTGTCTTTGAATGTATTTTTAAAGTTCCCTCTCCCTTCTCCACTTCTATTATTTCAGATTTCTTTTTTTTCTCTTTTAAGCTCTCAATTCTCTGGCCGCCTCTCACATTTCTCATTCTCTTAGCCACCTCATAAAGAAAATAGAAGCAAAAACTTAAACTTTTAAAGTTGCTGAAACATCTCAGTTTCATTTACAGCTTTTGTCCAGAAATCTTATATTCTCTGCTTTTTAACTACTATCTCAGTGGAAGAAAAATTCAAGAGAAGTTTTTTTATAGCTTACTTTTTTGAGTGGGTAATATATTCTCATCACTCACAAGCTGGAAAATAAGAGTGTTGAAAAGTATCAGGTCTCATTTTTGTTTTCCATCTGCCCAGTTTGAACCCTCTCCACAGGTGATCCTGTTTTTAGATTTTTTTTTTTTTTTTTTTGGTACCAGGGATTGAACCCAGGGGCACTTAATTACTGAGCTACATCCCCAGCCCTTTTTTCATATTAGAGACAGGGTCTCACAGAGTTGCTTAGGGCCTTGCTAAGTTGCTGAGGCTGGGTTTGAACTCTCAATCCTCCTTATCTCAGCCTTTCGAGTGGCTGGGATTATAGGTGAATAGAATAGAATAGAATAATTATATGCTTGGCTTGTTCTGTTCTCAGATTCTTGACATTTATTTTATGGCCTAGGGATGTAGCTCAGTGGTAGAGCACTTACTTAGTTTGGATGAGGCCTTGGGTTCAATCCCAGTGCCATAAAAAAAAAACAACAACAAAAAAAACCAGTTTAACTTCTTTGTTTTTTTATGCATATTTAAGCAAATATAAATTGGGTTCTATTTTTCCCCTTTTTACAAACAAAAAAGTAGCATTCACACTTTTCAGCACTTTGGTTTTTGTAATATGAGTAGGGGTTTTCCTATTACTACATAGAGAGTATTCTCATCACCCCAAAGCTATTGAGTGTGTATGGATGTACCATAACTTAAGTAGTCTCTTATTGAAGGATATTAATAATCAGTACTGTAGTGAAGTATCTTGTACATAATCATTTTGCTCAAATGTTTGTAGGATAGATTTCTAGATAATAGAATTGTCAGGTTGAACGATATGTGTGTTAAAAAAATTTTTAGTTGATGCCATGTGACCAATTTACATTACTAATTTACATTGTACTAATTTACATTCTCATCAGTGTTTAGTAATCCTGTGGAAAGTAAGTTTATCAAAGCTACTACAGCAGTGAGTCTACCTTTGATTTGTGCAGACCTTCCTCCAAAATCTTTATTAGGTATATCCTTATTAGTTTTCACCTACTTCTTTTCAACCTGGCTTCTTTCTATGTGAAAATGTCAAATCTGGGCTGGGGATATGGCTCAAGCGGTAGCGCGCTCACCTGGCATGTATGCATCCCGGGTTCGATCCTCAGTACCACATACAAACAAAGATGTTGTGTCCACCCTCAAAACTAAAAAATAAATATTAAAATTCTCTCTCTCCTCTCTCTCTCTCTTAAAAAAATGAAATAAAGATATTTCAGTTTAATAAAGATATTTAAAAAAAAAAGAAAATGTCAAATCTCACTTGTTTGTAGGAAAACAAGTTAAACTCTTTTCATTGTTTGCTTTTTCTTCCAATATTTTGTTTTTCTCATTGCAGCCAAGCTTTGCCTTATTTCCAATTTCCATCTTTCAGGGTCTCCTTAACCCATGCTAATCTGATTCTTCTGATGCTGCTACATTAAAACAACTCTTACTAGATTATTTATGACTTCTTAGTTGATAAATCAGATGGGCATTTAAAGTGTCATTTAAAAAGTCTTATCTATAACTATGTGGTATCCAACATTGTTGACAGACTTCTTCCTGGAAATTCACTCATCTCTTCTTCTACATCACTTTCACTTGATTCTTCTTACCTATTTGACTTTCCTTCTCATTCTCTTCTACTATTCACATTCTTCCTGGGTGATCTTATCCATTCTTTTATGACTTCAGTTACTGCCTGTATGTGTGTGTCTTTTAGATATGTATTCCCAATTCAGATATTCTGCATACTAACTACTATTAGACATCTGGGATGTCACCCAGGCTCTTTAAACTCATCACTGCCTAAACTGAGTTCACTGTGTTCTTTTATCCAGTCTCCTTCCAAAGCCTTTGCCTTCTGTGTCCTCCATTTCGGTGAATGGTACTACCCTCTTATTTCTGGTTGTGGAAGTCAGAAGCCTTGGCATTGTATTTTTGTTTTTAGAGAATCTGGCCCCAAATTCCTGTCCTTAAGTGATCCTCCTGACTTAGCCTCCTGAATCACTGGGATTAGAGGCACACATAACTGCTCTCAACTCCTTGGGAATCAGTTTTAATTCCTGTTTGTTGCTCTTGTACCTAATTAACCATCACGTTTTGATGATCAGAGTCTTCTAAATATGTCATATCTGAGTCACTTCTCTTTGTTCCCATTGCCACATTCTTGTTCATGCTACCACCAGCTCTTGGCAAGAACACTCCTGATTTGTGTTCTTCTGGTCTTCTCCAAGCTACTCTGCACACTGGGCATAGTGATCTTTCAGAAGTGACATCTGATCTAGCCATACCCCTATTCAAATCTTAGAATGGTCTCTCATACCTCTGTTGGTGTGAACCAGATTTGTCTCACTCCCCTTCCAACTTCACTCTCCTGCTTCAGTGGCCTTCTTTCCATGAATATGCCATACGTCTTTTGCACAAGCTTTTTTTACTGCTTGATATACTTCTTTCTTCACTCCTTACCTTCACAATCTCATTTTTGCCTAATTTACTGTTCCATTCATGACATGAGGTCTGTGTTTAGCTTAGCTTTTTTTTTTTTTCCCCTTCATACATTGGTGGTGATGGGGATTGAACCCAGAGTTGCTTTACCACAGAGCCATCTCTTTTGTTTTTCTTTTCTTTTTTTGGTACCAGAGATTGAACCCAGGGTCGCTTAACCAGTGAGCCACATCCCCACCCCTTTTTTATATATTTTTTTTAGAGACAGGGCTTTACTAAGTTGCTGAGGCTACCTTTGAACCTGTGATCCTCCTGCCTCAGCTTCCTGAGCTGCTGGAATTACAGGCATGTGTCCCCGTGCCTGGCCCCTTTTCATTTTTTATTTTGAGACAGGGTCTCATTAAGTTGCTTAGGATCTCACTAAGTTGCTGAGGCAGGCCTTGAATTTGTGGTCCTCCTGCCTCTGCCTCCGAGTGGCTAGCTTACAGACATGGGCTGCTACCACACCCAGCTAGCTCAGCTTTTGAGATGGCTTCCCTGACTTCTTCAGATCCTGGTTAGAAATGTCCACATCATTTGGTCTTTATTGATTTCACTTTGTCTGTATTTCCCCAATAAGTCATAATCTCCCCAAGGATACAGCTATATTTATCTTGTTGAGGGTGATGTCTCTAATGCCTGGGTCATAGTAGATGCTCATGCTCAAATATTTGATGATTAATTTAATAGATAAATTAATACATGAATCTCCCTCATGGGTTCATTTTCCTTCACATGAATATTAAACAGAGGTATTCCCTAATATCTTGTCTTCAGTCTTTTCCTTATGAAAATTCTCCTTATGAAATTCCTTATGAAAATTTCTCAACCATTTGTTCAAGATTTCAACTTTGTTTATGACATGAAACTTTTATTTGAGCTTCATATTTATATCTAGTTACCTATGGAAAATATTTAAAGGGCTATATGATCTCAGATGTATCTAAAACCTTCCTCTTCATTTTCTCTTTTTTTCTGTCTTTGAATGTACTTCTATATGGCAGTGATATTAACCTTTAATCTCTTTAAAAGCTAGAAATTTCTGTTATTTTTTATAACTGTCTTAACCTCACCTCTCCCCCTTCATGCATAAGGATTAGTATTTTTTTTAAGTTTTATGTTGTCGATGTATCAAAATTTTTTTTTTTTTTTGGTACCAGGGATTGAACCCAAAGGGGTGTAATCACCAAGCAACATCCC